GGGAGTGAAATCGGATAAGATGGAATGAAATCGGGAGAGAGAGTGAGAAGACTGAGCGGCGGAGTGAAATCGGGCCACGAAAGATCGAAATGAAAGAAAAAAAAATTGGGTTTTGTGTATCAGAAACTGGAGAAAAAGAAGACTGTTGCGTTTATAAATAAACGCTTGTCGACGCTAATTAGCGTCGAATCATTAAAAAATTTTCGTTTTTTCACGTCAAGATTGTGTTGGCGCGTGGTGGCGCTAAATCCAAAATATTTCAGATTAGCGTCGATTCTCGACGATTCGACGCTAATATGAAATATTTTGGCTTAGAATAGAAAATTTTTGGTTTACCTCCAACTCTTTAACCAAAATATTTCAGATTAGTGTCGAATTAGCGTCGACTATTAAAAAATCCGATGCCTCCTCTATTATTTACCCTAAACTCTAAACATTTAAGATTTTGATGTAGCGTCGAAATAGCGTCGAAATATGTTGATTTGATGCTATTGCGACGCTAATTAGCATCGAGTCTATACAATTCGATGCTAATTCGACGCTAAACCTAAAACATTTGATGTTTGGGGTTTAGGGTAAAGAAATCACAAAGAATACAAAAATAATCTTAACAATGTCAATATTTCTTATAACCGAATGATTATAAAATTTGAAATTTTTTGATSATACATAATTGTACATAAGTTTAATGATAATAAATATAAAACTATATTGGTTTATTGAAATCTTTATTCATATATCATCATTAACCTATGTTCATACGTAGTTGTTATCTTTACTGTATCTTAATTGCGATTGTATAATTATGTATTCAAAGTTTAAAAAAAATGTCATGAATAAAGATTTCAAAAAACCTTTTTAGTTTTACATATATCATCATTAACTTTATGTACAATTATGTATGTGCCAAAAATTTCAAATTTTAAAATCATTCGGTTATAAGAAAGATTGACATGGTTAAGATTGTTTTTGTATCCTTTGTGGTTTCTTTACCCTAAACCCCAAATATCAAATGTTTTAGGTTTAGCGTTGAATTAGCATCGAAATAGCATCGAACCTTAACAATTCGATACAATTTTGACGCTAAACTTAAAATGTTTGATGTTTGGGGGGGGGGGGGTTTAGGATAAAGAATAGAAAACGCATCAGATTTTTTGGAATTCGACGCAAAACCGATGCTATATTGAATTATTTTGGTTTAAGTGTTGGAGGTAAACCGAAAAGTTTCAGGTGGCGGTAAACCGAAACTTTACAAATTATCGTCGAATTAGCATCAAAATGTGTTGTTTCGACGCTATTCCGACGCTAAACCAAAAATATTAAATGTTTGGGTTTAGGGTAAAGAAAGTAGAACGGATACGAAAACAATCTTAATCATGTCAATCGTTCTCAAACCGAAAGATTTTAAAATTTGAAATTTTTGGTATATACATAATTATACATAATGTTACTGATGATATATGTAAAACTATATAGGTTTTTTGAAATCTTTATTCGTAACATTTMTTWWAAAARTGGAYTACATACTTATACAATCACAATTAAGATACAATAAAGATAACATTTATGCTTCACTGTCTGAATTATCATTTGAGGTATCGTCATCCTCATTGGTACTTTRTGCACTTTCYTTCATAAACTCGTTTTCGGGGTTTTCTGCATCGGTAACATCTGGAAATATTTCAACTTCTCTATTTTTCGGATCTATCAGAATGATCTTGTCTAGATCTTGTTCTGGAGTTATTAGATCCACGACAGTTTCATATTGCATTGGCGCGTCGTCGGATTCAACTATAATTCCTCTCGGAGCTATTTT